AGAGAGAGTTAGTCTGCCAAATATAATGGGAGGAAATGGCACACGCTTGTTTAAAAGATATTTGATCAGCAATGTCTCTTTCCAGAAATCATGACCCAATTACCTAAGCTAATCCACAGACTTTTTTGTGGGCAGTTTCAATTGGCGGGGTGGTTATTAGAAGATAGTTCCAACATGAAACTGCTCTAATACTACTGGAGTTTTAAAGAATACTGATGGCTGCATTGACATTTGAGACATTGCACATTTCCATATACAATATTAATGATGTGCATGAAATACACACAGAGAATAAAAATCCCTAATATTTGGTTATAAGATAATTCTGAGTTGTTAAGCAGGACAGTTCAGCATCTTGTTACTTAAAGACTAACACATCTGGTCTTGGAAGGATACAAAACAGATACTTTCATAATGTATTCTAATAATATTTTCAATGGGTTTGTTTGGGTATATGTGATATTAATCCCTTTGTCTGTGTCTTTCTCTCAGTCTCAGGGTTACCCTCAGTCCATCACTCACCCCTGCTATCCTGCAGGCTTCAACAAAACCGTGCAGTTGAACAGTACATTCAGCTCTCCGTGTACAGCACAGTACAATCCCAGCCCCTACGACCCCCTGGCCTCTGTGACAGTGACGGGCAGCGGACACTACGAACACTGTCTGGGCAACGTGTCAGAGATCTTCTCCTTCGACAGCTGCCCCTTCTCCCAGTGCTCCTTTGATAAAGTCTTCCAGCCCAATGTCAGCGGCAGCTTCATGGTGAGAGAGGCTGGAGGGAGAAGAGGACACTGAGCTGTCATCTTTTTTCCTCTTTGACATCTTTTGAAACACAGACAGACAATATTATAAACATAGCCATAATAACCACATTGCACACAAAAAATATATAGGAGCTTTCATATGGGTCAGCAATCTTTTTAAATATTTGTACATTTTTTGCTATTTTTATAATAAAAAACTAAAGGAAATTCATTGTAAAAACAATATTTGGCAATATACCAGATTCTGATTTTGATTACCATAAATCAGTAAATTAAGCAACACCATTATAGAAAAATATGTTATTAAAGCGGAAATAAACTCAGGTAAATGTATTTGCAAATAATAAAATAAAATTGAAAAAACAAACCACAGTAAAACTACTAAATAAACTGTTGTGTATGAAATAACAAATATACAACAATACGCAAGTGGAGTACAGGCCTCTCGAATGACATGTTTATTTATAAGCATAACCAGCCTTGCGATTGTATTTGAATAACTGTAACTCAATAGCAGTATTGATCACAATAATTGCATGACATTTTCACAGAAGAACAAGGACAATGCCTCAATGTTTAAATAAGAACCTATTATGCGCCATTATTTCTCTCCTAGGTAAAAATGTTTTCTATGTACTATGTGTTGCCCCAGTTTGATTGGTTTGTTTTTCTCTCTGTGCACCAGGCGTTCTCTGCTTTCTACTACGTTCACCTCTCGCTGCAGCGTACCACCGGCATCACCGCACAAACTCCTTCACAACTGGAGAACGCGGCGGAAACTCAGTGCGGCATGACTTTCAATCAAGTAATGGTCCTTTCTACTTATGTTCAATTCATTTGTTCATAATATATACTTTTTGTCTAGGCATGTATTAGTTCAAGTGTGGTTTGTAGCCAATACCTGAAAAACTATTACAACTTCAATCAGCTTGATGTTTAGGCTACTTTATTTTCAGTGCTAATTAGCAATAGGAGCATGCTCACACCTAAATTAGTGTTTGAGCATCTGTTTAGCATGCTCCAAGTAGCACTTATCTCAAAGCACCACTGTGTAAAGCCTAACGAGCTGTGAGCATGGCCCGTACACTCTGCTTTAAATACATTGACTAACCCTAAAAAAATCGACCTAAAACGTTATGTGCTCATTTATTACTGTATGCTCAAAGACCTGTCATGGTTGCGGTGATTCACAATTTTGGGAAAATCTGTATTATTGAATGTTTGTTTGTTTCATCTTTAAGTTTATATTAGGTTATAGTTTTTGTATTGTGAACTGTATACTACTTTCTGGTATTGTATTATGTTATCTCCTGTACATGATTACATTTAAACTCATTTATCATAAAGTGAGCTATTTTTTATAAGCAATACTTTTGTCCCTCCCACTTTAACTCACTTTTTACTTTTGTACCTTTATTAATATTGAATTAGTTGAATAGAAACACAACCTGGTTTGCTGCTATTTAGACTGTAAGGGGGCTGGAAGAGACAAATGAGTGAGATTCAACTCCACTTTTTAGTTCGTGTATTTTATTCCACAACTTGCTTACACTGTTTAATTGTTTTCTTCCAGATGCTGCTTCTTGACCCGGAGCAAAAGTCTCGTTTGAAGAACAGCTGTGCCAGCTCTGTGTTCGTTAAGACTCTCATGTTCAGAGGATATGGCTTCGATGAGATGTCATTCCCGCGTGTAACCTTCCAGAAGAAAGTGAGAACTTAATCACTATTTGACAACAGATATATCTTCAATACTAATGTGTCTACTATCTACTAACTGGCAGTAATCACTTGCTGATCCTCCAGGCAGGGGACACCTCGGTGGGCTGGGCTCTGGGCTACATGCTCAGTCTGAGCAGTTTACTGCCGGCAGAGACAGTGGGGCTGAGGAAGGCCCTGACTCCAGGAGCGTGGGCCACCCTCATCTTCCTCTCCGTCCTCCTGCTCGTGGGGGTCCTAGTCTTCATCCTACTCCGTTCTGTTAATGGGAAGAAGAAAGGAGGAAGTGATGGCACCATCTAGATACTATAACAACAAGACAGTAGTAGGTTTTTGTTTATGTTGGCTCTGTACTCCGACATATTGGATCTGAAATGAAACTATGCGGTTTATTTAAGGGTAATCACATTAATAGGTGGGATCTGTTTCTCCTCTTACCCTTAGTCCCCCGATTTTAGGTTAATGCAGCAGGACACAAGGCTTATTTCACAAGATGTCTTTTTAATTTTGTTCTTGAAAGAGTCCTAAGGAAGGTCAATTACTGTTTTTAAGTCACATACTTTTTTGTATTTGTGCCCCATCATCCACATACTGTAAAGGGCAGGAGACTGCATGGCTGTGTATATCCAGTAGTGGATATCAATTATTATGAATTATTGCTTTTTTTACAACAATAACTTCACAATCTTTCCTTTCAAATGTTATTTCCTGGAGTATAAAGCAAACACAAGGAAAACACATGTCAGGTTTTAAGAATGTTGTATAGTATAGCAGAGGCACTGACACTAAGATGAGGTCTGAATGACATTTTCTTCTTGAAAATATGAGATTCTTTTTCATGTAGAAGTGTGACTAGTCTGAAGCGCTTGTATATTAAAATGTAGCACACTGGAGATAACTTCCAGTTTAATATGCAAGTAAACACTATTTAATTATTTTTTAATATGTATTGACATATGTATTTTTTTTAAGGTGGCAGTTTTGATTCACATTTTATTTGGCGGAAGTCAAGAGCATGCTTTTGCATATTACAAATATTTGTTGACTTAGACAAGTTTTAGTTTCATAAACCTTGTGTCAAGTAGATAACTGATAGAAAAGAGTTCTTCAATCTAAAACATATTTTCTTTATGTCTACTATATAATAAAAGGAAGCTAGTAGTTGCTGATACAGTTTAGATTAAACTAGAATACAACAATCCTGCTTGAAATACAGAAAGGCATTAAGGTACTGAGCAAAACTTACATCTAATCTGCCAAAAAAAGACCTTATGTTTATATTTCTTTGTTTTATACAGTAGTCAATAATTCACCAGTTTGCTTCAAGCTATATGAGTTTACCTAAAGGGCCTCATTATGCTTGTTGGGGTTTTCCCTTTCCTGTAATGTGATACATAGTATTCGCGATTGGACTCCTTTGTTTAATTCCGTAACATAGCAACATCACGATGTAACACTCCCACTTCTATTGGTTAACACTCCAACACATTGTTGTGATAGGCTAAAGGACAGGACAGCTCTAAGCAGCTAACCAATCAGAACAGACTGGGCTCTGGTTTCAGACAGAGGGTGTAAAGAGGTGTGGCAGCACAATGAGCATAATAGGGCCCCTTTAAGGTATGAATTAGTTCAGTTTCAGTTTTCTGCACCATAAAACTAATATTTGAGTGCTGCCTTATTGAATTGAATGTAAGATACTTGTTTTGCTTTTAGCGTGCCCACCTCTAGTGAATTATAGGCTAAGGTACAATTATTTAAATGTCCCAAAAAAACACTGTAAATAATTTTATGATGGAACATTGAAACCAATATGTAAGGTGTGCCTGCATAAAGGCCAAAGGGAACCCTTGGCATGTAGATGAATTATGAATATGAGACTTTCCCAAATCTTTTCAGATCCTGCATGTTTATTTTGTTTGTACCCCCATATTGTAGCATCTTCCAAATTATTCTTGTGGCATATTGAGTTTTTACTGATGGAAACATTTGGATACTCCTGGGGAACATGTTTTTAGTTGGGGTGATGTGGCTTTTAGCATATTTATGTTTGATGAATCAACTGTGACAAAGATTTAAATAACGCTATGTTAATATTAATATAATATTAATATTATCGCATTGTGAGTTTTTAATTATCATGGCATTATTGGTCTCTGTTTTGTCACATTGTATTTTTTATTTGTTTTACTTGAGATAACAAAATACATATATTTTTTTCCTTTGTACAACTTGTCTACTGTATTTAATTCTATCGTTCCTGTCTGCTTTGGACTACAACTACCAGAATGCATTGCTTTATCAGGAGTGCGGCCAGTTTGATCATTTCCGGTAAGGTCGTAATGCTGTCAAAATAAAAGCGGGGAGTTTTGCATAAATATAATTTGCAATATATTGTGCTTTTTAATGATCTTTACAAATTCAAATATCAGCAATCGGAGTCACCATTATAATTATAATATGTAACAAATGGGACGGACAATAAATTAGTCTTAGTATTCATTACTTGCTTGTGGCATTTATTTTGAAAGCGCTGTAACCGGAAGTATTGATGTTGCTACTGCATGGCGGAACAAGCGTGACTATTCAATAATAAATAATTCAAGTAGAGTAACCGTGTTCAGTTGTATTGAGTTAAAGCTGGTCCATTTTCATTTTAAACAAGAACATTTAAACGTACTTCGAAGCTGTTCAGCTCCCTGTATATATTGATACGGAGTTTGTTCTGAAAATACCATCGTTGTGTCTGTTTGTCAGTCTGCTAGTGAGCTCTCTGAGCAGTTTGGAGATGTGCTCTCAGACGAAAGCTGCATCCCTGATGGCTAACATCCCGCGGGCAGACATCGACCCCTCCGGAGTGTTTAAATACGTCCTGATAAGAGTTCACAGCAGAGAGGAGGGGGACGACTCGGAGATAGATATAGTCCGAGGATACGGATGGGCTGAGTTCCATGGTGAGTCAGGGGCAATAAAAACAGAGAAAGCTAACGTTAGCTACCCGGGAGGCACCACAACACAGGTGCTAGTTCCACCCAAGGGTGACAGACATGGGTTTTATCAGGCTAAATGACAGTGGAAGTACAACTTAAAATAATGTACAATACACAAGTGGTTAAAACCTAGGTCATCCCTTTTATTTAGCGTTCCTATTGTTCCGATTGTAAAGGTTACATAAAATATGACCAATTGTATTACTTGCTCTTTTTCCTGTTACATCCTCATTTGTTTGGTCATTCAGATGTCTTATTTTATGAAAATGGGTATGTTTCCTTATATTTACTGTATAGTAGTGCAGAAAGTATGCAGAAAAAACCTTTATTTTCTAAGAAGATATATTTTGGTATTTATTTTTATTTTGTCAAATTCTAAGTTATTTTCAAAACAGTAGCCTACTACTAAGATATTTTTGTTAGTGTATTTGTTTATGATTCTTTGAGAGATTCAGATTTCAAAATGATCATTTGTCTGTGCTCTTTCCGTTCTCTGACCAAGCAAGTACATATAACACTTTGTTGATTAAATCGCAATCGCGAAGTTGTCCACTGTAATCGCAATATGACTTTTTCACCAAATTGTGCAGCCCTAGTGGAAAGTAAAACATCCCAAATCAATTAAAGGAACTCAATAACTATTATTAATTTATCAATTTATTAAGTTCACCTAACTAAAGCTAATGCAGTACAATATAACCGTTTTACAAGAAATGCTGTCCCTCATCAACGTTATCATGTTCAGTGTGTGTTGAAACTGTAAAGAGATGTTAATTCATTTTTGTGGTCATTTTGGAGCATTTGAAAATGTAGTTTCAAGATTTTCCTTGCAAATGTAAATGTGACTTAAGATATTATCGCAATAATAATCAAAACATGCTTAGAACTCTTTACCTACCTTTGTTAAAGACAACTTTTCCATGACAATCGTGTGAGGGTATTGATGATTACCCCAATAATGGGAGATACCATCATAGACATTGTGTGTTTGTTTTTTTTGCCACCCCAATCCACAATATAATCGAATATCATTCCATCCCTATTCTGTAAATTGCAGTTATTGTATTGTGTTATACTGACCAATATTCCAAATCTACAGTCTATCATATCCTATGTTTGGACAGATGGGACACTGCTTGCTTCATTCACAAGTTACAACCACATTTGTTTAAGCCAAACATCCGAATCACAGTTGTATTATATATTGATGTAGGGCTGCTCGATTATGGCAAAAATCATAATCTCGATTATTTGGGTCAATAATTGATATCACGATTATTAAAAACGATTATCCATTTACTTTGAAAACATCAATTCATTGGAGAGAAAACATGTGAACAGTATGTTTTGAACAGTTGATTACCCTGAACTTTAAGTATATTATATATATATATTGAGTATAATTCAACTGAAAAACCTATATAAAAAAAAGTAATGATACAAAAATAATCGTTTTATTTCAACGTACGTTGTTTTCGTAATCGTTGCAAGCCATAATCGTAATTGCGATTAAAATACGATTAATTGAGCAGCCCTATATTGATGTACAGTATTCATTTTTTTCACTGTTCTACATTATATTTAAATATATTATAAAGTGCAGTGTTTATGCAATCACATGCCTTTTCTTGCAGCTGATATCTATGATAAAGTTTCTGAGGAGCTGGAGAAGGGCGGCCAGCTGGACTGTGAGTGTATCGGAGGAGGGAGGATCCAACATGAGCCCCAGGACAAGAAGATCCACGTCTATGGATACTCAATAGTGAGAGAATTCTGCCTTATAAAAACTGCAATTATGTAGACAAAAACAGTGCATAGAGCAAATGTGCAAAACAAACTAAATTCTAAATCATTACAGCATTACTACATTCCTTTTTTTTTTTACTCTAATGGTACATTGGTATATTTTTGTTTTAGGGATTTGGAAGAGCGAACCATGCAGTAACCACTGAGCAACTGAAGGCTCAGTATCCGGACTATGAGCTGACCTGGGACAATGAAGGATACTGAACTGAACTCAGATCAGCGTCTGTTGGACGCCCTTTCTCCTGAACAGCACGGCACGCATATGTAACCCCTGGAGCTTTTTGATAACCCAAGACTAAGACTGACGTACAGCTACAAGCCGGTTTTGGACTTATCTTAAGTAACAATATGTCTTTAAAAAAAGATCATGATCGTAATTATAATCCTTACCATGGAACATCATCTGGAAATCATAAAATAAATAACACTCATTGACTTGTTTTAGAGTCACATTGGAACTAATTGCTAAGATATGTTGTGATATTTCATAAACGTTTTATGAAATGAACTTTAAAGTCTTGTGCATACTTCGTCTGTTGCAGACTTGTATTCCTCTAGCCCACTGACAGGAATGTGAACTGCTGATGAATGTTATGCATTCATTTGAGTTTTTCTGTGTTTTACGGCTAACACAACAAGATGGAATTACAACATTGTACTATTGTGTAGGAAAAATGTATTTAAGGAACGGGTATGTCAATTTTGAAAAAGAAATCTCAGAATTAGTCAGTTTAAATTGGTACATTTACAAGACAACACCTTTCGATATTGTCATAATAAAACAAAAACTGAATGCTAAAAGTTCATTTTAAGCTAGCATCAGCACAAAGACTGGAAGCAGGGAGAACCGTCCCATCAAAAGTGAAACATCTGCCGTCCAGCAACCTAATGAATATAAATATTTGCTAGTGTGCTGGTTTCTGGTTTCAGCAATGATGCATTCATGGTAACAGGGCTCCATTCTCCAACACCACTTGAGGGGACTTTTTAGATGCTGCTCATTTTAGAAGAGCTGTTTGTTCAATCCCAATATCAAATTTCACACTTCAATGTGTCAAATATGCAAGATGCCATTTTAAATCCTAACAGCTGTGGAGTGTGGGTGGGTTTTTTACATTTTTGTAGCAAAGCTTGCAGTTTCTTTTCGCTTCTAATCTTTACGCTAATTGTGGCTTAACATATTCTTCGTGTTTACAGATGACCTTGAACATGTTGATTTTGTCTTCATAATGGAATACGGAAGTAGTTATATTCATCCCGCTTTCGTCTCATTAGTATGCATAAAAAGTGACAGGTCACACCTCCCCCCCTATTAGTCGAACTAAAGTAGGACGTAACGTTAACCCGGTCCCCCGTCCCCTTTTCCCGTTTTAGTACGTACGGGTAGGGTTGGTAGGAAGTACTTCCTAACGTAAAGGGTTAGGGTTGGTAGTAATTACCCTAACCCGTAAAGGGTTAGGGTTGGTAGGAAGTACCGTTCCCGGTACGTAAGGTAAGGGGGGGGGTAGGGGGGGTAGTAGTTGGTTAGTTTACTTACCNTGTATTCACAGGTGTGAAAAGCCCCCACTGTTGCGCCTTATGGTGTATAATAAAAAAATAAAATTAAAATGCGGTTTCAATCACATTAGTATGCATAAAAACTGACAGGTGGGCCCGCCCCCAAGTGTGTGTGTGTGTGTGTGTGTGAGTAGTTATGTTCATCCCGCTTCCATCACATTAGTATGCATAAAAAAGTGACAGGTCACACCTCCCCCAATTATGCAAATGAGCTAAGGCCCGCCTCCCCTTTGATCGAGGTGTGAGATCTCAAGTAGGTGTGATATCCCAAGTAGGTGTGAGATCCGTCGATAGGAGGGGGGTGATGTGTAACAGGTTGATGGTGATTTCACAGTGTGAAAAGCTCCACCCACTTTTGGCAGCCGTTTAGGTGTTATCTAATAAAAACTGTTTCTATGAGTCACAGATAGTAGCTTTAAAAAGTGAACATGTGGTGCGTGCGCCCCGCCAGAGTGTGTTGTGTGTGTATGGTGTGTGTGGTGTGGTGTGTTGGTGTTGTGTGTGATGTTGTGGTGTGTTGTTTCTTTCTGTCTGATCTGTCTGTCTTATGTCTGTCTGGTCTGTCTGTCTTCTGTCTGTCTGTCTTGTCTGCTGTCATGTCTGTCTGTCTGCTGTCGCAGTCTGTCTGTCGGTGTCTGTCTTCTGTCTGTCGTCTGTCTGTTCTTGTCTTCTTGTTCTGTCTGTCGGTTTCTGTCTGTTGTGGTGTGTGTGTGTGTGTTGTTGTGGTGTGTGTGAG